GGAGCCAAGCCTGGGGGCAGCCTCCCGCTAACCCAGCGGATCCTGCAGACACGAGCAGGCCGTACCCCAGCCCCAGAGAAGCTCCCGCCTCCCACGCACACTCGTTTGAAGACCAGGGGACACAAAGTTCCCCAGACCCAGCCCACAGGCACCTTTTTTAGCTGGGCTGGCGGCACCCTGCCTTCCAGCTGCCTGGGACAACGCAGGAGTCACCGTAAGACCGTTACAATGAACGAGCTCATTCTTACATGATCAAAAATGGGGGAGAGTGCGGCAGAGTTCACTGGTCGCTCCGTCCGGAACGTCTTCAAATGCTCCAGTGTCGTGCAATCGAATAGCTAGGAGCCAAACAGGAGAGAGTTATTCTGCAAAAGGCCTGGCAGCCCAATTAACTCACACCAATCTGGCTGCTAGGCCGCACCTGGGCAGACGTTGGCTCTGCAGTCACTCACGGACACCCAAATCCCAAAAGCATTTCCCCAGAACCCCAAAACACTGCCCCAAGGTAAATCCCACCTCTATCGTCTTCCAGAGGTAGCAAACTGCAGGTTTAATTTTAGCAATGTTGTTTCCAATGCCTGGCTCTTAATGTGATGTGGTGGTGCCTCCCCTCTCTCACTGACCTTTCCCACGAAGCTTTGACTTTCCACTTAAACTTCTAAGGAGCAAACCTCCGCGACAGCCACGGCTCTGAGCAGAGTCCTGCAGGCAAGTATGGACAGCCCACCGCCTGTGCGACGGGAGGCCTCACCTTGGCTGTGTTGTCCTTGGAGGCAGTGATGAACATGGTCATGTCCCTGGAGGTCTGAATATCGTTGATTTGCTTGGTGTGCTCCTTGATGTTCGACAGCTGCTCCCCTGACTGCAGGGTAAAGAAGGCGGTTTCAGCGTGCCAGCAAGCGAACCGAGCGTACATGCGACTTCCCCATTAAAAACAATTCTGGAGACGTCGCTGCCAGCAGCGGGGGCAGATGTTGGTACATCAGCCTTACTCAAGGGAGCCGCATACTTTAACTGTCCACGAGGCTGCTGGTTTGAGCCCAAACACCCACATTCTGTCCCATGACCACAACAGGAACGCTGCGATATCCTCCCCCAGGCCCTGCCGCCCGAGGGAGATGCTCTTCTTTATCAGACTGACCTTGGCACTGAACTGGTTCAGCTCGCCGCTCTCGTGTCCTGCGATGATGAACTCTCCCAGAGGGCCCCACACAGCACTAGTGATTTTAGAGTCACTGCAGGGGATTTTCATGTAAGGCTCGTTGTTCTCTGCAGGAAGGAAGGAAGGAGACAGACAGACAGACACAGTGGCACCGGCTCCGGCGATCAACGCTTCCCTTTATTCCCTGGCGCAGACACTGGCCCGGATTCCTCACCGATCTGGCTGGGATCCCGGAGGTCAAAGAAGCTCACGAAACACTGATATCCCATCTGCTTGTCCGTGGAAAACATGATGATGTTTCCTCCAAAGTCGAAGCCACACGTCCTCACCGCTGAGCTCGTCTTCACCAGAGCGAGCTGCTTTCCTGAACACAGAGCAGAAACCGTTGCTTTGCTATTTTACTGCGCAGTTAATGCAAAGGAGCAGCTGAACAGCAGGGTCAGAGGGAGGACGAGAGCGTCGGGCGTAGCTGACAAGCAGGTTCGGTGACCTGCAAGCACTAACTGCACTTTACTGCCCAAGTAGTCAAAATGTGAGTAAATTGGCTCAATATCAACTAGAAACCCGGCACCTGCACAACCCCTCCCCTCCAGCAGCCTGAGCTCGCACTCAGAGCTCACTCAGAGGGGTGAATGAGCCCACATTTTGCTGCCACCACGCACTCCGAGCTTAGCAGCCCTCACGGCAGGACAGAGCCGTGACTCAACCGCAGCCATGTGGGAAGAGAAGAGCCTTACCCGTTTCGCAGTCCCAGAGCCGACAGCTGTTATCTGCAGAGCCGGTGAGCACGTGTCGCGTGTCCCCTAGGTCACCAGTCAGGGAACATCAGCCTCGAAAAGCTACTGTCTAAATTCCCAGGGACTATTATACACAAGATTAAAAAGCTGTATTACACAGAGATTGGGCAAGTTCCATTCCAGGACCACAGAATCACAGAATGGTAGGGGTTGGAAGGGACCTCTGTGGGTCATCTAGTCCAACCCTCCTGCCGAAGCAGGGTCACCTACAGTAGGCTGTAGAGACCAGCAACACTCCAGTACAGACAGACACGGAGTCCAAGTGCACCCGTTACAAACCCCACAAATTTCCTCTCAAAATACTACAGAAAAGGGTTTCAGCTGTTGCATTAACACAACCTTTGCACGTTTTTGTCTCCACTACCTGCTGCCCACACTGGCGATGGAAACCCTTGTGCAACTCAGGCACCTTCCCTCAGCTCCCAGGGCCACCACAGCAAAAGCAACGACACACAAACGAGAGCAGCCAGGGGAAACAGCTGCCCAGGAAGAAAAATACCCAAAAGATGGAGTGAGGGAAAGACAGCGGAAGAGTTAAATGCGCTGCATCGCCCCTGTGCTCCTCTCCAAGAGGCAACAGCGCAGCAGCAGGGAGGAATCAGCTCAAGCAAAGGAAAACAGATGGGATGGACAAACTGGTTTCAGCGATCAAAGGATACAGTCGGCATCCACGCACCAGACGGCTCCGGTGTGGCCATTGTAGGTGCCGAGCCTCTCCCCGTTCACCGAATACCAAACGTTGACAATCTGCCAGGAGAAGAAAACAACCGAGAACCCCCCTTACCAGACGGATTAATTAATTAATGGCGGAGATGAACAGCCGGGTAACGATGGCAGCGAGGGCCGGTGTCCACCCGGGGAAGGGGGTGGAAAGGGCAGGGCCACTCACGGGATCCTTGGCCACGGTGAAGAGCAGGTCTCCCTCCCGGTTGTACTTGATCTGCGTGATGGAGCGCTCATGGCCCTGCAGCAGGATCGGCTTCTGCGAGGGGGGAAAAGCCATT